AGGGAGGTGGACGTCCGGGGACGGGGGTCCCGGGGGAGGGGGTCGTCGGGCGAGGGAGGGCCCCCGGGGGTGGGGGTCTCGGGCAGGGGGTGCCCCGGAGCCCCTGGGCCGCTCGCGCTGTGGGCTCGGGCGGGCGGACTCGAGGCAGTGGGAGCCTCCCTGCCTCTCCACGAGGTGGGCCAAAAGGTCTGTGTCTTTACGCGGCGAGGACACGTTGTGTCTGTTTTTAGTCCTTTTTGTTGGTGTTTTATGACTGAAAAACAAAACACAAAGTAACAGCGGAGGTTTGGAGGCTCCAGGTTATGTAACCCCTAAGTGATGGGAAGACAGGCGAACATTCGGCGTGGAGCCAGGACTGGGCAGGGACCGGGAAGAACCCAACCGGTCCAACCACCCTGTCGGGGTGTTGGGACCCACTCATTCTAAGGTGTCTCATCTTCATCCTGCGTTTCCTCCTTTGCTCACCCCAGATTGACTCTGTCATTGCCAGGTGACCCTGCACTTTTCAGCGTCGTCAAATCTGGGCCTTCTCACTTGCCTTCGTGGTTTTCTCAGGGGTCCTACCCCAGCCCATGCTCTTATTTCTGGGATCTGGGCCTTTTGACTTATTACAAGAACACCCTCCTCCTCTTTTGTTCAGAGCTTACCCTTTAACCTCCAGATCACAGAGGAACCCTTCGGTAACCACCTACCTGGGTTTTGGTCTTTCATTCATTCCCTCCACCGTTAGCACACATGGTGGTGCCGAGGCCACGGGCTGTGGTTGAAGCAGAAACTTCATTCATAGAAAAAAAGTGGCTCAAGAGGAGCAATTTTCACTCTACTGAAATTCCAGCTGGCCCCTCCTCTCCAACCCCAACATCATCCCCACCCAATTTTTGCCCAGATGTGTTTCTAGGGCTCAAAAGTTATTTTCTCTGTTTCATGTGGAATCTGAACCTGAGATATCAGAATGATAGTTTTCAAATATGGTAAAAAAATATTTATTTAATGACAAGTTCAGTACAGCCTGATTTTTTGTTTTGTTTTTATCCACCTCTGTGTCCATCTGCTTTTTTTTTCCTTCCAGTTTTAACTTCTGTGCTAGTTAAGTAGCTGGCTTTGCCTGAGAAGTGGCTCATCTCCCAGTAGTTCCTGTTAACAGCCGTCTTATCTCTTTTGGGGTCCTGTTTGTTAGGCAGGGTGATCCCTTGGCACAGGACACATGCCATTTGAGTCTTGGTGTCTCCATCTCCAAGCAGGAGGACTTAACTAGGGCCATAAAGAAGCAAACAGCTTCTACCTGAAGGCAGAATAGTAGAGAGACAGCCGACCCTGTGGCCTGCTGTTTCTGATGTTGAGAGTTGGGGTGGTAAGAAATGTTAGCAGATGCCAAAGAGAGACATGGTCATTTTCCCCATGCTCAGCCCTGCCTGTGTCCTACTGAGCCATGCTGGGTGATACTTTCTTCCTCCATTCCTTCCTCCCCTAATTATTAACTGGACAATTTAACTCATTTACATTTATTGTGATTTCTTTCCTTTTTTTTGGTTAACTTTATTGAGATATAATTCACATATCATACAATTCATCCACTTAGAGTATACAGCCATCACCACAATCAGTTTTAGAACATTTTCATAACCTTAAAAAGAAACCCCATATTGTATCCTTTAGCTGTTACCCCCACCACTCTCCCATTCCCCCAGCCTTAAGTGACCACTAGTTGACTTTATGTCTTTGTAGATTGGCTTCCTCTGAACATTTCATATGAATGGAATCATATAATATGTGGTCTTTTGTGTCTGGCTTCTTTCACTGAGCACCATGTTTTTAGAGTTTGGCATGTGGTAACATGTATCAGTACCTCACTCCTGTTTATGGACAAATAATATTTCAGTGTATGAATAGGCCACATTTTGCTTACTCATTCTTCAGTTGATAGACATTTGGATAATTCCCACCTTTTCCCTGTAATGAATAATGCTGCTATGAATATTCAGTGCAAGTTTTTGTGTAGACATATGCTTTCATTTCTTTTTGATAGATCTCTAGGAGGCGAATTGCTTGGTCAAATAGTAACTCTGTATTTAGCTGTTTGATGAAGACTGTTTTAATGTGGCTGCATTATTTTACATTCCACCAGCAGTGCAATAGGGTTTTGATGTCTCCATATCCTTGCCAATACTTGTTATTACCTGTCCTTTTGTTTTAAGCATCCTAGTGGATGTGAAGTGTTCTCTCATTGAGGTTTTGATTTGCATTTCCCTAATGACTAATGATCTTGAGCTTCTTTTCATGTGTTTATTACACATTTGTTTATCCTCCTTGGAGAAATGTCCATTCAAATAATTGCCCAGTTTAAAAGCTTTTTTTTTTTTTTACTGTTGCATTGTAATACTTTAAAAATATATTCTAGACATAAATGTGTGCTTTGCAAATATTTTCTCCATTCTAGAGATTGTTTTTCACTTCCCTGGTAGTGTCCTTTGAAGCACAAAATTTTTAAAGTTTGAAGTCCAATCATCTGTTTTTTCTTTTGTTGCTTGTCCTTTTGATATCATATCTTAAGACACCATTGCCAAATCCAAGATCATAAAGATTTGCTCCTATATTTTCTTCAAAGAGTTTTATGGTTTTAGCCCTTACATTTAGATCTTTGGTCCATGTGGAGGTAATTTTTGTGTGTAGTGTGAGATAAAGGTATACATTTATTTTTTGTTTGTGGCTATCTAGTTTTCCCAGCATCATTTATTATACTGCTCTTTCCCATTTAATTGTCTTGGCACCTTTGTTGAAAATCAATTGACCATTGATGTATGAATTTCCTTCTGGACACTCAGTTCTATTCCAATGATTTAGATGTTCATCCTTATGCCAGTACCACATTGTCTTCGTTACTTTTATAGAATCTTTGAAATAGGGAAATGTGTCCTTCAACTTTGCTCTTCTTTTTCAAGATTGTTTTTGCTATTCTGGGTCCTTTGCATTTAATTTTTAGGATAAGCTTGTCAATTTCTACAAAGAAGCCAGCTGGAATTCTGATAGAGATTATGTTGAATCTGTGGATCAGTTTGGGGATTATTGCCATCTTAATAATACTGTCTTCCATTGCATGAACATGGGATGTCTTTCCATTTCTGTAGGTCCTTAATTTCTTTCAACGATCTCTTGTAGCTTTCAGAGCATAAGTTTTGTACTTCTTTTGTTAAATTTACTCCTAGGTATGTTATTCTTTTTACTGTTGTAATGGAATTGTTTTCTTAGTTTTATTTTTGGATTGTTCATTGCTAATGTATGGAAATGCAGTTGATTTTTGCATATTGCTTTTATATCCTGCAAGCTTGCTGAACTTGTTTATTAGTTCTGATAGTTTTTTAGTGGCTTCCTTATAATTTTCTATACACAAGATCATGTCACCCATGAATAGAGATCGCTTTACCTCTCCCTTTCCAATCTGGGTGTCTTTTCTCTCAGTTTCTTGCCGGGCATATTTTATAGGTCCGTTACAGTTTGCCCACAGCAGCTCCCTTCGTGGGGCGGGCACAGGGAGCTGTTGGGGGTGTGTGGGAAGGGGTTTCAGAGCCTGTTTGGCTCAGGATGGTTAAGACCCTGCAGTTCATCTAGGTCCGCATTTCTCTCTTGTGACTTCACACATCTAAGGGATTTTTAAACGCATATCTTAAGAAGTTCAGAAGACTTCTATAAATGTGATTAATGATGTGAAAATATTGATCTCAGGAATACTTAAAGTTACCGCCCTGGTTCAGCTCTGTATAACGTAGTGCTTCCTCTGCCCCAGTTTTCTGCCCCCCTTAACCCACAGGAATGTCTGTGTCAAAGGTATGTCATGTCTGTGTATTTTTCCCTTTTTCGGTCTCTCCATGGTATTGCAGCAGAAGCACACTCGGGAGTACGGAAGAATCTTCAAGTCTCACTTTGGTCCTCAGTTTGTAGTGTCTGTTGCAGACCGAGACTTGGTGGCTCAGGTGCTGCGGGCGGAGGGGGCTGCGCCCCAGAGAGCCAACATGGGGTCCTGGCAGGAGTACCGAGACTTACGAGGCAGATCTACCGGGCTCATCTCGGCGTGAGTACGTGGGGCCGGGCTGAGCACGAGCAGGAAATGGGAGCCCAGGGAGGCCCCCTCCCTGAACACTGGGCTCCTAACTCCTGATGGAAAAGTGTCAGGAGAGCCTCTCGTGGGATCCCCTGAAGTCAGGCACCAGAGCCCAGCTGGGGGCTCTCTGCTTCCTCCTGTGGGAAGAGATGTGGTGGCAGGGACAAGGTGGGGGTCACACTAGCCCAGCGATGGGGAGGGGCTGTTTCTCAAGCATTGCTTTGTGGCTTTTGGTGTCCGTTCAGTGACCACCAAGGGAGCTGAGCTCACAGTGCCTGTCTGTGGACAAGGGATGAGGTTGGTTGAGCTGTCTTAGCAGACCCCCTGGAGGGGCTACGAACTTCCAGTGTCCATCGCCAAGTGATGGTTTTCCTGTCTCATAACAGACTACAATGATTATACATCTTTGTGCCTTCTAAGAGCTAATTGGCACTCTCACAGACAGAGAGGAAAATATGAAGCATCTGCAGATCTCCTGGTCCAAATCACTTGCGTTTAGAAATTCTATTTTTGACTCTTTTGATATGTATGTCCTTATACATGAACTGGGGAGTAGTACCATCAATTTCTCAAATAAAGGAAAAAGAAGTTGTGGTTGGGTGTCACCACTGTCCCTCAGTTTCTGTCCTAAGAGTAGTAATCAAACAGCTTCTCTCCCTTTGTCCAGCCCCCAGAGGGCAGGGGACAGTGCTCTGTGCCGTCACCAGGGCGTCTCGGCGCTGGCTGCAGGCTCAGGAGTGTAGGAGTTCAGATCAGTTCAGGATCTGGGAGTTTACTTGTGTAAAGTTTGTTGTCCTTCGCTCATCAGAGCAGTCTTGTGTCTCTTTACTATAATACTGTTGCAAGAGTTTCAAAGGCAGTGTATTACTTTTGATAAAGATGCTTCCTGGTGGCAGTTTTTTCCCTTAAAGTTTGCTTCAAGGGCAACAGCTCAAGTGTTAATGAGACTCCAAGGCTGAGGTTACCCCTCCTCTTTGCAATGTCGGCCCTGCTTTCATCCTATGTGGATGGGCAGGTGTGTTGCTTCTTTTCTGCTGGGGTCCTCTGAATTCCTTCCCAGATTACCAATACAAGGAAAATGACTGGAAATTCACTTCATTCTAGGGAGGGTGACCAGTGGCTCAAGATGAGAAGTGTGTTGAGACAAAGAATTCTGAAACCAAAAGATGTGGCCCCCTTTTCGGGAGAAATCAATCAAGTTATTGCCGATTTAATTAAAAGAATCTACTTCCTCAAGAACCAGGCAGAAGATGGAGAAACTGTGACCAACATCAATGACCTATTCTTCAAATATTCCATGGAAGGTGAGGTGAAGTCAGGAGGTGGGAACGATGGAAGAATGGACGTTTGCCAGAAAATAGTCATTGTCACTCCTTGGGGGTTTCCTGTGCCCCAGGTGGTGTGCTGAGCCCCAGACACACATCCATGTAATCCTCGCCATGCTGACGGAACCGGGGATGTCTATAAATGCGGCAACCGAAAACTACCCCCGTTTTTAGTGGCAGAAACTTAGTTTCAAATGCAGGTCTTTTGAAGGGTGGGTATAGCTCAGAGGTAGAGTGCGTGCTTAGCATGCACAAGGTCCTGGGTTCAATTCCCAGTACCTCCTCTAAAAATAAATACACAAATAAACCTAATTACCTCCCCCCCGCCCTGCCAAAAGAAAATTGAAAAAAAAAATTCATGTTAGTTGAGTAGAATTCTCATGGTTCAAAGATCAAAACCAAAATATTCATTGGAAAGTCTCCCTCTCTCCTTACCCAGCTAGGTCACCAGTGTCTTCGAGGGATGTTATATGCACTTACAGAGAAATGCATGCGAATATTTTTTGCGGGCACAGGGAGAAGTCGTTAGGTTTGTTTATTTATTATTATTATTTTGATGGAGGTACTGGGGATTGAACCCAGGACCTCATGCGTGCTGAGCACACTCTCTACCCCTGAGCTGCACCTTCCCCTGTGAATATTCTTTTTACTTAAAAAATAAGTGGTCGAATACCACACATTCTTTTCTGTATCTGGCTTTTTTTTTTTAATATATAGAGAATTCTATCAGCTTTCCTATTTTAAAAGGTGAGTTTAACTTCAAATTCAGTTTTTTAAAGTTCAGATATGCACGCTCTCTGAAAATAGTAAGAAAATCAACAGAGAAGAGAGTTGTAAACCCACCAGAAAATCCCGCTCTTGGTGCTTGGAGGCCCTTTCCTCGGCCTTCTTAGCTCTTGGACTGGGGGCTCCCCGATGTGTGGCCAGGAGGAGCCACCTTTCAACTCCCCACAGTTGGGCGGAAAGGTTGGGGGGTCTCGCCTGGTAGGTCTTGGACAGACCGTTGAGCTGGGGGTGTGATGGGGCAGAGGGTCTGTCAGCTCTGTGTGCACGGCCCCCGGTGCATCAGGACCTGGCGGAGGAGACCTCTGGTGATGGAGCGGCAGGCCTCATGAAGGGCCCCTGGACCACTTTAGAAAGTGATTTCTGTGGCCAGGTATCGTCTGCCGATGCTGTGACCAGTCTATGTGAAGAAGGGCTTTGAAATGACACCTCTCTCCCGTGCAGGAGTGGCCACCATCCTCTACGAGAGCCGTCTGGGCTGCCTGGAGAGCAGCATCCCACAGCCCACGGAGGACTACATCCAGGCCCTGGGGCTCATGTTCAGCATGTTCAGGACCTCCATGTACGCAGGCGCCATCCCCCGGTGGCTCCGCCCGCTCGTCCCCAAGCCCTGGCGCGAGTTCTGCAGGTCCTGGGATGGACTCTTCAAATTCAGTAAGAGAAAGTGGGCGCCACTTCTGCACACGCAGGTGGACCTGACTTTCCAGCTAGTTGTGTGTCTAATGCTCATGCGGACAGTGGGTCTCCCTGCAGAGGATGACCCGATGTCCTTATGAGCCATTTGGGCTCCAGAGCTTTTAGATCAGTTTCTCCAGTGAGCATAAAGCGTGTGGGTTGTGACCACAAGCGATGGGACCGATTTATCACTTTTAAACTCTTTATTTCAATACACATCCTTGCAGTGATACATAAATGTCATCTGTGGGAGGTGACACCTTTAGTCCAATAATTCTGTCATTGCTTAAAAGGCAGATAGAATTTCGGACCTGTGCAAGTTCATTTGAACATTCTCAGTGGCAGCTTTGGGGACAGAGAAATTCATTCGTTTCTCACTTGGTGGAAAACAAGCTAGGAAAAACCGTTTTGTTCAAGCCCGAGGTGAGATTGCAAAGCAAGATTAGTTTTCTTATGTGGCTAAAAATTTTACGATAAAAGAATTTCCAAAACAAAAAAAAGAGATTTCCAAAATGTTTAGAACAATGTGAACAGTGAAAGACGCATCCCAGGGTGTCCTTTGAAGGCATATATATCCATTTGAACATATAAGTTTCATATAAGTTCTTATATATTCATTGAATGTATAAGTTCTGATGTATATAATATCCTGGCTTCTTTTTATGGTAACACAGTCTTTTCGCTCAGTTCATTCTCCCTTCTCGAAGCACAGCAGGAGAAAAAAGAATCTGTATTCTTGTCACTCCAAAGCTTTTTTTGGCTGTTTCATCAGTAAAGCAAACATTTACAAATATCTTATTTTTAAAAAGGAGGACATATTTAGCTTATCTTTAACTTTTCCTTTTTTTTTTTTATTTTGGAGTAAACTTAAGGATCTAATTGTCTTTCTTCGATGATTCATGAATTGGCAGCACCCTGTCTAGCAGAGAGAAGGATGTGCCCAGCTTTCATTCATTTATACCAACAAGTGTATGAATGAAGTTCCAGAGTTGACAGGAAATCCACTGGGTCTTGTCTGGCCTCTGAACCTGCCACAGACTGAGTTAAGTTATTGAGAGGATGAAGAAGGAGTGCAGACTAAAGAGACTCTCCTTTTTTTTTAAACTGAAGTCTAGTTGACTTACAATGCTGTGTTAGTTTCCGGTGTACAGCGTAGTGACTCAGTTATACACATACATGTATATATTCTTTTTCATATTGGTTTTCATTATAGGTTATTACAGGCTGTTGAATATAGTTCTCTGTGCTTTACAGTAGGACCTTGTTTATCTGTTTTATATACAGTAGTGTGTATCTGCTAATCCCAAACTCCCAGTTTATCCCTCTCCCTACCTTTCCTCTTTGGTAACTGTAAGTTTGTTTTCTATAAGTCTGTTTCTGTTTTGTGAATAAGTTCACTTGTGTCCTTTTTTTAGATTCCACATATAAGTGATATCATGATATTTATCTTTGTCTGACTTACTTCACTTAGTATGATAATCTTCAGGTCCATCCATGTTGCTGCAAAGGGCATTCTTTCATTCTTTTTTATGGCTGAGTAGTATTCCATTGTCTAAATACAGCATGTCTTCTTTATCCAGTCATCTTCTGATGGACATTTAGGTTGCTTCCATGTCTTGGCTGTTGTAAATCGCACTGCTGTGAACATCTGAAGTGATTATTCTTAACCACAACTTTTTTCAAAAGAAACACTGTTTTCAAACAGGCCAAATTCATGTTGACAACAAGCTGAAGGCAATACAGTGCCAAATGGACCGAGGGGAGAGAGTGAGAGGGGGGCTGCTCACCTGCCTCTTCCTCAGTCAGGAGCTGACGCTGGAGGAAATCTACGCAAACATGACGGAGATGCTCCTGGCCGGCGTCGACACGGTGAGTCGTCGGTTGTCCTCTTCTCTCAATAGACAGAGCACACGGTGGCCTTTCTGGGTAATCTGATGGGTGGCAGAGATGTTGAGCCCCCGTACATGTTTGTATGGCTGAACGTCTGCGTTGCTGCTGCAGGTCCCCAGGAGAAGACCATTTTCTTTTTTTTTAATATCTGTAACGTGTAAAATTAAGGTATGTAGTGGATTCTATAAAGAACATGACCACAATCTCTTATCATGCACACAAAGTAAGAGTTCACTGTAAAGTTTAAGAATCATTCCTTATTTGCAGCCGTTTGTCCGTTGTTTCATAATATCAGAAATGAAGAGGGCACAGACATAAAAACCCTTTTATTCAGGGGAGAGGATTGAACTCAGTGGTAAAGCATATGCTTAGCATGCACGAGATCCTGGGTTCAGTCCCCAGTGCCTCCATTCAAATAAAAACAAACAAACAAAAAAACCTAATCTCCCCCCTGCCAAAAACATATCTGAAACCAGAGATGAATTGAAACTAAAAAATAAACGAAACAAAACCCTATTATTTGTCTTTTAAAATATTCCAGCCCACGGAGAACTCCCCAGTTCATTTTATAAAGGCAGCCTAACTTTAAAACCAAAGCCTGCCAAAGAAGCATAAAGAAAGAAACGTTTACTAAGCAGTTTGACTGATGAATATGTGTGTGTATCAACTCTAAATAAAATCCTAGGGAGGAGATTCAATTAGTGTAGCCAATGAATAATATATTATGATCAAGAGGCCTCAAGAGTAGAATGAAACAATTATACTATACAGCACAGGGAAATATATACAAGGTCTTGTGGGAGCTCACAGTGAAAAAAAATGTGACAATGAATATATGTATGTTCATGTATAACTGAAAAATCGTGCTCTACACTGGAATTTGACAGACAATCAATTATTGGTGATTTATGTAAGAAAGAGAACATGCATTCCAATGAATAGATTTACATTTGAAGAAAAGACTTAAGCTTTAAATAAAAATATTGGTGAACAACAACAACAAAAAGTAGAATGAAACAAATCACTGCCAACTGATTTGGAGGGAATTCCGTACCCTATTGTGAAGTTAGCATAAAAGTCAAGTCAACTCATGTATAAGCCAGAGTGACTTCCAGACCTCAGTATCATGCAAACTCACAGACGCGGTCAGTGAAAATTCTGCATGAATGCGACGTGTGGGTTTGTTGATGGTGAATGAATGGAATGACTCAGACGCACGGTGCTCTCGCCCCCTGGTGGTGACCAAGAGCATCACCACGCGAACCGTTCCTCGGTGGAGGGAACATCCCTCAGGTGATAAAACGCTTGCAACTTCATACTAATTTAAAAAGAAATGTTATTTTAAAAAATCAGCTTGATTGCAGTATAATTTATGTGCAATAAGCAGCATCCATTGAAACCGTACAATTCGACACGGGTTGTTGGCAGATAACAGTATAAGCACAGATGGAATTGTTTTTGAAGCCAGCACCACAATCGCAATCCTGGATTTACCATAACTGCAAGTTCCCCCCTCATGTCAGTCCATTCCTCCCCAGACCCCCGCCCCCGCCCCCGGCAACCACCGATCTGCTTTCTGACACTCTATGTCCGTTTGCATTTTTCTAGAAATATGTATAAATGGAATCATACAGAATGTATTCTGTGTCTGGCTTCCTTCACTCAGCAAAATGATTTTGAGATTCCTGGATATTACTGCACATAAGAGTAGTTTATTCTTTTTTTTTTTTTAAATTACTGAGTAGTATCTCATTATATGGATAGACCACATTTGGGTTTTACGCGGAAATGTGATTTTAATAGAAAGGTTTTGTTCTCATAATAGAAAGCATCTAAATTATTTCCTTATCATTTATAAAAGAAGAGCTTGCACGTTAAATTATGCATTACAGGAGAGCTTGTTCTCCAAAAACATATGGTATCTATTATAGAGAAATAATATCAATATGGCCTACTTAAGTTAGATTAAAAAAATTTTTTTAGGGGGAAAGTAATTAGGTTATTTATTTATTTATTTATTTATTTATTTATTTATTTATTTATTTATTTATAGAGGAGGTACTGGGGATTGAACTCAGGACCTTGTGCATGCTAAGCATGTGCTCTACCACTGAGCATACCCTCCCGCAAGTTTTTTTTTTTCAGATGAAAGAAAGGGCATCTATACTATGGAATTTCTTGGTTTACAAGACAGTGAAATACAGTCATATAGATAACAGTGTTGATTTTAGTGAAAATCTTGGAACCTAGGATATGAAGGTCACAGAAAGTTCCAGGCACCACCTCCAGGCATGACCAGCATCCCTGTGTCCTGTCAGGCTCTGCTGATGGGGCAGACGGCTCTTAAATGATTTCTAAGAGTTCCAAAATAATTTTTCCTGTAACTCTTTGCTGAAAGAGCCCGTGACTACTTCCCAAAAACATTTGGTAGCTTTTTTCTAGGAGGAGGTGAGGGAAGTCATCTTTAGTTTGGGGATGACCAAGATGCTCTGGTAGCGTTGTCGGAGTGTGACTTTGCACCTACGCTTTTTGCCACGTGACTCCTCGTCTGCTGTTTCCAGCTGCTGGAAACCTTGGTTTTCCTCACCGACGTACGTGCCTGTGTTTCTTTCTCAGACGTCCTTCACCTTGTCCTGGGCGGTGTACCTCCTCGCGAGGCACCCAGAGGTGCAGCAGACTGTGTACCGGCAGATAGTGAAGAATCTGGGGGAGAGGCATGTTCCCACGGGGGCCGATGTCTCCAAAGTCCCGCTGGTCCGAGCTCTGCTTAAGGAAACCTTGAGGTAAAAGGCTCGCCCGAATTCAGCTGGAAAACCATGTCCCTTAAGTCTCTGATTCTGTATCATAATGATTGTGCTTCTGACTTAAAAACTGGCTCCTAAACAGATGCTCCATCTCCCCTCAGTGGGTGGAAGGTTTAGGAAGGAGGTCCTCTAGGCCTTCGCTGTTTCCTCTCTGCCCTGGTCAGGGCACAGAAAGGCTATTCTGTTCCACAGCTGGAAACGTGAATTTCTTCATAAACATCTTTAGCGACATCATCAAACTTTGCATCCACGCTAGTCCTTGGGCTCCCCTGGTGCTTTCCAGGGGGCTCCTCTGAAGCTAAAGCAGAATAAAAACTGATCGTCAGGAAATGTTTGGGGCTGTTTGGCTGGTTACCAGACTTGCTTACAAAGCCCTGTGTTCCCTGTGTGAATCCGTAGTTGGATTGGAGAAACCCAGTAGTGAGGCTTCTTTACTCCTGGACGGGGCTCTACTGACCCTGGGAAAAGCCGGCACGTGAGGGATACACGTAGCCTTGGGCGCGTTTGGATGGGAGGTGGGATCAGGTGAGGGGTGAAGTGTCCTCCTCCTCTGAGGGTCAGGATCCTGTACACAGCATCCCTCTGTGGAGGACATGCCATGACAAGGAGCAAAGATTCTTCACAGAGGACACACTGAAATCATTCTTAGAAACCTGACTTAATGATATTTCAAATTGTGTGTCATCCTCAATCACAGCACGCTGTTTAATCTCAAAACAAAACAAAACCCATAACGTTGTAAAACAACTATTCTTCAGTAAAAAATAAAATAAAATAAAACAGAACAATGATACTCTTTAAAAAAAAAGCCAGTTGTGTTAAGTGGTATTTGTCAATTCAAGTTCTGTTCAGAGTGTTGGCAGGCTTGCCTCCCAGAGATGACCTGAAAACTGAAGTAGCATTTCTCAGAATGTATCTCCTGGAGCCCTGAGTCCTGTCAGCTATTCCCTGATAAAGGGGGTCTCATGTGCGTGTAAATTTCACAAACTCGGAATTTTTCCTCTTGGATGCACAGTGGCACATTAAAGCCTTTGCCTTGTGTTTTGAAAACTCTTTTTTGACCTTTTCCACATTCCCCAGGATACTTCCCGGGCAAAGCTAAGGAGCCGTGAAGGTCTTTGCAAGAATTCCTGATTGAAACCGTATCCTGTGTGACTTTTTAGAAAATGAAATGGCAATATGGCCAGACTTTGAAATGTTTATAAAGTATTTCGAAAGTCACCCCTCCCTTCCCTTCCCCGCTGGCTTTTTTCCAGGCTGTTTCCAGTGCTGCCGGGGAATGGCCGGGTCACCCAGGAGGACCTGGTTGTCGGCGGGTACCTGATTCCCAGAGGCGTGAGTGGGGCTGACTTGGCGGGGCGGGGCTGTGCAGGGGTGGTCGGGTAGGAAATTTGCTTCCATGTTAAGGAGTCCTAGTACTGAAGCAAATACCTCTAGGGTTCCTTCTCTTCTGTTTATATTTTTATGATGAAGGTCAGGCTTTGGGAGCCTGGAGAGGTGCATGGTGCTATTGCTCTGGCAAAAACAAAGCCGGGTATTTCTGTACTCCCAGACCTGTTCCAGCCCCGTCCCTGGAGGCCTGAGTCCCAGAAGCAGCAGGTCTCCCCAGGGAGAGTTTCTGAAGGGCTTGATTGCCTCCGGCGTGGCTGCACTGATGCGCATTCAGGGTGGGGTGTGGATTGATGGAGCTGGCATCCTGGGTCTACGTCTTTGTGGCTCCTTCCAGCCAGAAGCATCTTGGGAGGGACCGTCCAGTTGGGGCTCCGGCCCCTGCCCCGCTTGCCCTTGATTCTGGTCCTTCTTCCTTTTCTGATGAACATCGTTTCTGCAGACCCAGCTGGCCCTCTGCCACTATGCCACGTCCTATGAGGATGAGAACTTCCCTCGGGCCAAGGAGTTCCGCCCGGAGCGCTGGCTGCGGGAGGGGCACCTGCACAGGGTTGACAATTTTGGATCCATCCCCTTTGGCTATGGAGTTCGCAGCTGCATCGGGCGGAGGATTGCAGAACTGGAGATCCACCTCGCCGTGATCCAGGTGGGGCCAGGAGCCGGCCTGAGGGCTTGGCCTCATTTACTGGGCTCCCATGAATCAGGGTTTGGGGGAGAAAGGAAACAAAACTTTGAAAACTTTAAGCTTCAAATTAAATCCCTTTTATAGGTTAACCCCCGCCACCCACCCAGGAGCCACCTTTAGCCCCAGGGTCACCTGCCCTGTTTCTTTCCTCCTTGGACATGTGTGTAGCTGTGGGGGGGCCCACGTGCTCACGTGGGGGGGTCCTGCAGAGAGGTGAGTGGGAGGTGTCCTGTGAGTGGCCTTCAAACCGTATGAGCATCCTGTCTCCAAGGAACCCCTCAAAATGCAGGTTCCTGGGTCCTGGCCACAGAGAGAGTAACCTATTTATGGGTCTGGGGTGGGGCTCTGGGCAATTCTGGTCCGTGGGCTGCGCTGGGTCTAAGACAGTGCACCTGGTGGGGCACAGGGCACCTCCACCCGCTGTGGTGTCTGCGTCTGTGGTTCAGGCCCCCACCTCCCGGGTGTCTCTGTGGAGGAAGTCCCACTTGTCCTCTGACTGGGCACCCAGCCCCTCACGTCACCCAAATGAGCCATTCACACAGGGAGGTGGTCCTCAGCCTGTTTGTTGGGTTTTGAAGCATCTGGAAGGCTTAGTATTTTATTAGAGAATACCTTGCATGCTAACCCCTATATAGCAAAGTGTACACTTGTGTGCACATACAGTGTCTGAGTTCTGGCTGCAGCAGGAACTCAGTCCTGTCCGAAGGAAAGTTTATAAGAGACATCTGTAGCAGCGACATATCTGCCTGTGCGAACCTCTGTTTGCTGCAGGAAAACTTGGCCCGAGATTCGGGAGTTGACATCCTTGACTCCAAGTGATAGAGGCATGAGGGGGTCACCTGGTGACTCTGTCTCCCCATTTTGCTGGTGGGGAAGCTGAGGCTGAGGGAGTTGGAGCCACTGGCTGCAGTCCCAGTGGGGCAGGTGCAGGGCCTCTTGTGGATGTGGTGACTCAGTCTTGCCTTCTCCCCACATGTCACGAGGTGCTTCCTGTGGGCTCACCCGGCCCAGGGCAGAGCACCGGGGGGCTGGGACCTTTATGGATGTTGGCATCAGAGAGCATACAAGATGGGGAGGCCTGGCCAGCCTGGGAGGGATTCTGGATGGTCAGTGTGGGGAATGGATGGGAGGCGGTAGGAAGAAGGCCAGAAACTGGTGTTTGGTGGTGGCGATGGGGATTTTATTTGTTTGCTTCTGTTCACAAATGCACCAGCTGAAGTTTTTGCTTCGAGTCCTCATTTCTACTTGTGCAAATGTAGAAGGGGAACACTATTATTTGTAATTGCCAAGAGAAGAAAAAAAAAGAGAAGACACAAATAAACAGTTCAGGAAAGAGATAGGAGACATACTGACTAATGCAGTAGATAATGTTTTTTTAATCAAGAAAATACTGCAAATGGGTTTTTTTAACCAATAAGCTTGAAGACATAGATCAAATGTACAGTGTACTAGAAAAAAATGTGAATTACCCAAACTGACTCCAAAGAAAGAGAATAGACCTCAGATATTGAGTGCATTGACTCGGTGGTAAAAAGATCTACCCCTGAAATGTCCGAGGCCTGGAGTTTTATTGCGAGTTGTATCAAACCTCCACTGAATGGGGGATAATCATCATCTTGTGCAAAAAGACTAGAAAAAGGAAGTTACATTTTTATGAGACTTGCATACCCTTGGTAGCCATAACCTGGGAAGGATAGCATAAGAAAGGAAAACTACAGGCCAATCCGATTTATTAACAAAGATGAAAGCCATTTTAAATGAAAAGTTGGGCAAATCAAATCCAGCAATGGAGGAAACAAATGCACCATCACCAGATCGGGTGCATTCAGGAATGCAAGGATGGCTCACCTCAAGAAAATGTGTCAGTAGAATTCACCACAATGACAGATTAAAGGAGAAACGTTCTATGACCGTCTCTTGAAATAATTGATGAAAGTTAACCCTCATTCATGAAGAAAATCTCTTAGCTCTCCAGTAATGGGAGGGCTTTCCTTAACCACATAAATGGGGTCTAGAACAGCAAGCTTGCCTGTGGCCCCCCTGGGAAGGGAAGGGACAGCTTTAATGGTGCAATATTCATGTGTTTCTTTAAGGTTGGGAACAAGACGTTCCTATTGCACAGAGAGTGTCTAGAAGACACACCCCTGCCCCTTGGGAGCTGGAGACTTGAGGTGGAAGTTTGAGGGGGGGAGCTTTGTTTTTTGCTTTTATGTCTCGTGTAGGTTTCACTTTTCAGTGAGCACACATGGCCACTTAGAAAGGAAAAAAGTCCGTGTCGTGTGTTGGCCTCATAGTGAGGGGACTGATGTGTGGGTTCTCCCTCTGCCACGTGGGAGTGTGCAGGCAGTGCTGGGAGGCCGGAACAAAGGGTCAGGGGTTGGGTGTGGAGGGGAGGTCATCTTGATGTCAGAACGTTCTCGAACTACCTAAGTACGGGTCATTCAGCTCGGCTCTCTAACAATGACAAAGTAGTGAGCTCAGCCTGTGTCCTCACTGCAGCCCTCTCCCCTGCCTGACCCCCACCCCCACCTCCAGACCTCAGCTCCCCTGAGGACCCATCAGTGGGTCCTGCTGCGTTGCCTGGGAGATGAGGCTGGAGAGTCGGAGTTGGGTGGGGGGGTCTGCATCACAGGTGACAATGTCTGTTCTCCATCACCGACACCCTGTTGGGTGGTTGGAGCAGGGGAGGGGTCAGGGCTAGTCGGACACCCTGCACTGTCCTCACGGGCTCATGAGCAATGCCTTGCCTCCCTTTCAGGAACCAACGTGGTTTTTGACATGGGTCTTTAGAGCAGGTTGCCTTTTATTCCCTAAGCCTGGAGGTGACCTTGAATATCAGCCCGGGGCCAGTTGGTGAAGAGATTGGTGCTTTAGGCTGATGGATACTTAGTGGTTCTTTAAAACTGGTCCTGTAGATAATTTTCGGTTTCCCCCAAGAGGTCAGGGTGCTTCTTCTGAACTGCAGAAATGAGAAAAGTGATCAAAGGTGCAAAGTAGGAATATTTAGATTAGGGACCGTGACAGCTGAAGCCTGTTTGGATGGTCTGCCTCTGTCTGACAGCTATGTCCCCCCACTGTGTCTGTACCACATATGAAGTGGCCGCAGGTTCACTTTGTTTCTCTTTCCTCCTTGCTCTTTGGATTCTTTCTTTCTCTCGACCTACAGCAGGAGCAGCAGAGTTAGAATTAGGCCTTTGAACATTCTGCCTGCATTTCTTTGTCACGCTGGCCTCAGAGTTGCTCAGGGGACCTGAAGGCTCTCGGGGACGACTCAATGCTCTGTTTCCCAGTGACCGAGGGACTCGGTGCGATGTCCAGCACGACACCCACATCTCTCTCCCTCGGCTCCCCGGAGCCCTGGCTGGACGGGAGAGCAGGCACTCAAGCAGGACTGCAGATTTTCTGCTGTCCCAGTGGTGAATCTCTTCTCTCTGTTTCTCTTCAGTTGCTGCAACATTTTGAGATCAGAACATCTCCTTGGACTAAAACTGTTCATGCAAAAACCCACGGGCTTCTGATGCCCGGGGAGCCCATCCATGTGCGTTTTGTTAACAGAAAGTGAGCCTGGAGTGTTAACCCAGCCAGTGGACCGACACAGACTGGGCGTTCCTGTGCCCCCGATGACCGCGGCGGAGGAGGAGGACCACTTTTAGGGCTGTCTTGGGTATAGACTGGCCTCCTGGGTTCCGGGAGGCTTTTGAATCTTTACCCAAATAGTGTGAGAAAATTGTTAGACTTTTGCCTACCAGAGTTGCCTTTTCTTTGGAGAAACAGTTGTTTAAAAGCCAGGGGCACCGAGTTCTCCTGCCTCATACAGTGTCTTACCCTTGGGCTCAATGTTTGGTCTCCTATGCGTTTGTGCCAAGAAACGGCACGCTTACAAATTCAGTGCTCGAATGTACATCCTCTGATCCTGCTTCAGGACTCCGTTTGGACGCAGTTATCAACTTCTCATTTTTTAATTTGAAGGGAGACCATTAAGAATGCCTCTGTAATACCGTAATTATGGGAAGAAAGCACCACAGGCGACACAAAGCACCAGATTTAGCTCCTGTGAATGAAAAGGACCATGCTCTTATTTTCCTCTCCAAACCAGTGCTTCTTGTTCTAATCTTAGCTGCTGAAGAAGGCGAACCTTACTTTTTTTGTTTGAAGAAAATAATCATGAAGAAATAAAATTCCTGGCTGAGTCAAGAATCATCACGGTTTCTAAGCAAATCGAAATCCGAAGCACATGTGTAAGAATGGAGAAGCTGAGCATGTGAAACTTCGTTGCCTACGGTGAGAAAACGGAATTAAACGAGGCTGGTGGAAAACAGTGTAACTTCAGAACATTTTCATTTCAAGGAAAAATAAATATCTAAAAGGACACGCTAATAGAGAAAATAATATTTTTCTTCTTCGTAGTCTTATTTTAAATGTCCAAACTGGAAATGTGGTCCAGCTGTTGGTGCTGACATCAGGCTCGACTCTAAGGAGTCTCTGAGTGTCTGTTCCCGTTCATGCAACTTGCTGGTCACCAATAAAAACCCAATTTCATAATACTCTCCCTGCACTGTCGTGCTTGAAACTGCCTATCCTCAATCCCATAATTCTCTTTACATAATCCTTATCCCCAAGTCACTTTCCTACTAATATATACCATAAATCTCTCTTCCCCTCTTTAGTCATTCTGCAAGATAATCCTTGTATAAAGTAGAAATGGGGGGTGGGGGTACAGCTCAGTGGTAGAGCACACACGTGCTTGGTGTGCATGAGGTTCTGGGTTCAATCCCCAGTACCTCTTAAGGGGAAAAAAAGGTAATAGAATAAAATAGAAGTAATATCCACTTCACATACCATGTTTGTTCAAGTATATAATCATGTTGAAATCTATGTGATGATGGAATAACTGTAATAGGAGAGTTGTAAAAACGTGTACAGTTACATGTGAAATTATGTCATAGTAATTGACAAGATGTTGGACTACAGGGGTATAAACTTTTATAACTAGATGCAATTTTATTCTGTTCCAGACTGACATTTAAAAATCTGGAGACTAAGTAACTTGAGGTGACCCCTTATTCTCCAAGGCAACCTCTAGGGAAGTATAGCTCTACCCGGGGTTAGGGTTAGTTCACACCTGAGCCCACTGCTTAGTCTCCAAGGACAGAAAGAGAAGTGGCCGGGCCTTGGGAGCCTCCTGGTGTGACCAGCGGGACGTGCACAACCCCACCTGTGACGCATTCTTGCCAAAGAAAGTGAAAGCAAATTACTTAATTCTCTAGATCCACGACCAGTGTATAGGGAGGGAATACAGGGTATAGAGGGACATGTGAAAACTCCACGTGGACGCAACAAGCAAAATCCAGAGTGCAAAGTCTACAGGACAAATAACTTGTTTTATTCCTTCAACAAATCAGTGACAAGAAAGAAGAAAAAAAGGAAGGGGGAACTGTTTTAGACGAGATTTTAAAAAAAATTTATTTTAAGTTTTTTTTCTTGGGAGCATACCCTTTTATTTTTTGTCCTTTTTTTTTAAATAGAGGTACTGGGGATTGAACCCAGGACCCTGTGCATGCTAAGCACGTGCTCTACCCCTGAGCTATACCCTCCCCCCAGATGAAGAGATTTAAGAGCTAAGTAAGAAAATTTGAACACTGTGTATTTGATGATATTAAGAATTATTGTTACATTAGCAGGAAAGTGCTCTTATCTCTTGGAGATGTTTCTTTATTTTTTTAATCATTTTTTTTTATTGCGTTATAGTCATTTTACAATGTTGTGTCAAAGAGATGTTTCTTAAAGATATAAATATGTAACATTTATGGACGAAATGTTATGACATCTTGGATTTGCTTTAAGATAGCCCAGCTTGCTGGGGAGGGAGGCTGGCTTGTGTGTGTGAGTTGGGGGTGGAGATTGTGGGGGAAGAAGAGAGACTGGCTTGATGCTGACAGCTGGTGATGCTGGGGGAGTGGGTACGTGGAGGATTCGTGTCTCCATTCTGTCTCCTTTGTGTACATGTGAACATTTCTATAATAAAAAGTGTCTTCAAAAACCAAAGGCTGGGTTGGTTCATAATCTCATAGTTCATTTCTCTTTTATTACTGTTCACAAACCAGCAAAATGGATATAAATTAGGTTCTTCAGGGAGCTCTGCCTTCTATTTCAATAATTGTTGGAAGTGATCAATTTAATTAACTAAAGTACAATTGTTGTGATAGGATTCGGGTGACCTGCCGGACAGGGGTCAGCTAGCCTTTGTGGCTGAGACGCCAAGGCAGAGAACAAATCCAGAGGCATCCGTAAGGGAAGGAGGAGAGGGCTGTGCACCGCCACCCAGGGCGGGATCCAAGAGGGTAAAAACACTGGGTGTGAGACAGTAGGGAGTGGTGGGGTCTGTGGAGTCTGCTCCCTGCCTGAAGGTTTTCAGAATTCATTTCTGCGATGTGCTGGCCGAACAGAAGGGGTCAGCAGCTGGCCGGGGCTGAGAGATGGCCAAGGGCAGGGAATCAGGTGAGAATCTGGGCAGGCGCCCAGTGGGAAGTTGCTCCAATTCCCCCTTGAGGCCAAGGAGCCATGTCCACGGGGACTGTGGCTCACAGGCAACAGGCTGAATAGGGGGTGGCGGGGCCAGTCACCAAACTGAAGGGAGAACTGAGCAGCCAGAAACCCGGAGGGACTGAGCAAGGACCGTCATTGCTGGATCTCTGAGTACTGGATCCCCATCTCCAGGTTCAAGGTTTACCTTCGCCAAGGCATTAGCCTGGCTCAGCTGGGATTGACAGGCGCCCTGACCAAAGGAGGAAGGAGGGGGAAGGATGCTGGGCTGGCAGAACCAGAGCGGCCAGCAGACTAGTATCTCCAGCTCCTGGCCGTGCCGGGTTCTTAGGGTGAGACTGAAAATGGCCTTTCCTCTCTCACTGCTGTCCCTTCCAGCCTGTGCTGTGGTCACTTCCAGCCTCACATGAAGCCTTGGGCGGTTTCCAGTACATTTTAGATCACTCCTAGAAAAGGAAAAAAGCTCGAGTTACTTTCAGCCTCTGTAACACTCTCAGTGAATAATGAAAATATCCAGTCCCGTGTAATAAACATCTCAGAAAATCACGTGAAGGCCAGCACTTCTGCTTCCCTGGTTCTGGACGGCTCTGGCTGGGAGCCTGTGGAGGGGACCGGGCTGGGGGTTGGCTCCCCTCCCTTCTGCCTTGTCCCCCCTCTCCTCGCCCACCCACTCCCACAGCCAGGCTGTCTGGCTTCTCTGTTTGGAGCTGGTCAGGAGGAAGGAGGGAGGGAAGAGGGGTCCTTTCAGATACAGGAGATCTGACATCAGGCTCTTTGGCCTGGGGGTAGGGAGTGGCGGGTATGCAGGGCTGACTCCCCCTCCTTTGGGGTTTAAGGACCCTCCAGCTGTACTCTCCTCCCCAGGTGGCTTCATGACAGTCCCTCTGCCCTTGGGCATCCAGGGTCTAGTCCTCCTGTCTGGGTCCCACAGCCCCTCCTGCTCTGAGACAAGAATCTGACCCTCTGACTGACTTCCTGTGTCCCCGTCATTGGCGGGTGTGGCTTCCTCTCCATGGTCCCCTCCTGCATGGGGACTCTTTCAGAGTGAGGTGGGCACCAGGCTCTACCCCATAGACTCCAGGTGACCGGGGCCAGGCTCCCTCTAAGTGACTAGGAAGCCCTCTCCCTTGGCTGGGGTTGGGAGGGGAATGTGGGGTCCCCACCACCCTCTGCTCTATTCATAGCCGTTGCAGCCTTACCTGAAAAGAGGCAGTCGGGTGAGAAGGTCCTGGTCCCTTCCCTTGAGATCGATGGATGTGTCTCTTACGTATCTTCTAGGGGTCTCTTTCTCTTCCTCTTTCTTTGCAAAAATTTCCTTCCAATTTATTTCTTGAAGAAATCAAGGTGTCTGCCCTGTGCAATGCCCCAAGAACTGGATGGCGCTGATCCTATCCTGTGGTGTCACCCGGCAGGTGCTTCTAGCCCGTTTCTCCTGTATATTTGTAGCTGGATCTAGAGGTCACCTCATTTTTTAAAATTGAAGTCCAGTGGACTTACGATGCTGTGTTAGTTCCTGGTGTACAGCATCGTGATTCAGTTATGCACATAAATATATTCTTTTTCATAATCTTTTCATTATAGGTCATTGTAAGATATTGAATATCATTCAATATGGGACCTTACTGTTTATCTATTTTTTATATTGTAGTGTGTATCTGCAAATTCCAAACTCCTCATTTATCCCTCCCCCGACCCCCTTTGGTAACAGTAAGTTTGTCTTCTATGTCTGTAAGTCTGCTGTTTTGTAAATAAGTTCATTTGTGTCATTTTTTACATTGCACATATAAGTGATATCATGATATTTATCTTTGTCTGACTTACTTCACTTAATATGACAATCTCCAGGTCCATGTACATTGCTGCAAAGGGCATTATTTCATTCTTTTTTATGGCTGAGTAGTAATCTATTGTATAAACATATCACATCTTTATCCAGTCATCTGTCGATGGACATTTAGGTTGCTTCCATGTCTTGGCTGTTGTAAACAGTGCTGCTATGAACATTGGGGTGCAGGTAGCTTTTTGAATTAGAGTTCCCTCTGGATATGTGCCCAGGAGTGGGATCCCCAGTATATCTTGTGTGTGTTTGGCGACTAAGTTTGTGGTCATTTGTTATGGCCCGTGACAGGAAACTAACAAACATGCTCTCCAAAATGTTTGGCCTTAAGTTGTTTTACTTTTCTTGTATTCATTCTTGCCTTCAAAAGGGCGTTTCCAATACCTGCCTCCACCGCATTTCTATGCGGTGATCTACCACACTGATGCTAGAAGAAGCCCTGCCTTCACTTTGGAAAGGGTCAGTTTATCTTTCACTCCCAGGCCTTTTTCGTTTGGGTCCCTGCAACGTATTCCTCGTTCCCAGTCCCCGAATGTGTCCATCACAGGAGCATAAGGACCGAAGAGGAGAAGGACCCCCCCGCCCCCGTTGGGACAGAGACAGGTGTAGGCAGCCAGGGACGCCACAAACCAGAATGACCTTGACGGGTCCCAAGGTCGGTGTGTCCCGTGGCGGCCCTGGTGAAAGGCCGGTGCTGTGTGTCTCTCAGGATGACTGTAGGAGGGGAGGAAGGTTGTAGTCACTGCCTAATGCCTTGTGTTGCATCAAGGCTCTGCTTGAGCTCTCGGATAATAGAAACCTTCTCTAGAACTCCCTGACGTGTGCCACCCTTGGACTCTGTGACAGCGGGTTCTGGGTGGGTGGGGAGCAGAGGTCCCTGCAGAGAGCTGGCCCTTGGGGCAGGTCATTTTGTGACTATGATCAAACCACGAGGACTCCCGGTCCCCAGCGTGGGTTTTAAAATGCCAGGCGTGTGGTAGGTGGTTCTGTTAGTATTACACACGGATTCCTCGGCGAAAACTTGGGCTCACAGCCTTTTTGGCAGAGGCCATCTGGGTTCCCCGGAGCCTGGGTGGGACCAGAGAGGCCAGACCGGGATGGGGCCGCTGCTGGGAGGCGATGTTGAGTCAGCCCCCAGGGCCCACGGGGTGTTGGAAATTGCCTTCTGTGGGAAAGGAAGTTTGGCCAGAACATTTTTCATTTCAAACTGTGCTTTTCAAAGGGAAACGAAACAGTGTTGGGGCTTTGGGTAGAGATGGAGAAGTACCACCCTCCTCTAGGGGCTGGAAGTGATTTCCATAAACAGATGATTTCTCGTGGGTTCCCTGAGCAAACAGCCCTGCCTCTGGGAGGGAGGCCAGTTGGCAGTGCCAGGCAGGGGACCCATCTCGGGAGGCAAGTGGCATCTGCTCAGCCCTAGAGTTTGGGCCCCCCCAGCCCTCTGCCACTAGCATCCTGACCATCACTACCACACGGGTTTCCTCCAGCCCTGCTCCCATCCCCCCAGCCCGAAGCCCCTGGGATGAGTTGTCAGACCCCTGAGATGCCTCCCGCCTTTGGTGCAGAGAGATGGGGCCTTGGGTCTGTCCAGACCTCAGAGCTGTCCAGCGATGGATCTTGGCAACCACTCGAGGACCTTGGGGTCTTTGCATAAACACAGGGTCGCTACTCTGCCTGATAAATATTAAATGAGATAATGTATATGAAGCTGGGGCCCAGAGCTGGGACTCAGGAAAGGTTAACTCTGTGGGTCTTTCCCCACATTGCTTAGTGAAGAGGCCTCACAAAATATTACTGCTCGATACAAACTGCAGCTGGGTGTACACAAGGGTGGGGAATAGTCTGAATGCTGAGTTCCCAGGTCAGTGTGGCGGATCTAAGCCACAAGGAACCCAGGACAGGAATGTGTGAACCGTTAAGGTTTGTCCTGGGGGACTGAGCTGTTAGAGCAAGCAGACAGCCAGATATGAGCAGAGAAAGGGGGACACAGGCCAAATGGCAGGAATTGGGTAAAAAAAATGGGACATGGGCCAAGTGCAGGAAACAATACATCATGTAAACACCAGGAGTCCCCGCGCAGACAAAAAAAAGCAGGAACCTCTGGGCTGATTGGAAATCACACATTTTGGGGTGACAAGTAGCCTAGAGGCCAACAAAGAAATGTGGGAAAGGCAGGAATCTCCAGTGTCCAAATGTAACCTTTTGCTCATTATGCCCTCATTTCAATAAAATTAGCCTTGCAGATTAGAGGTACCCATCGTGCACTGATGCCGTGACACTTCTGATCCAGACTAAATAAGGACAAAAATCTCTCCTCCCTTCTGGAAGGTGGAACTGGGATGATAATCAGGGAATACGACCCCAAACCCTTCCCTCCCCAGTGAATATTCTGCCCATTCATTTGTACACCCTAGGGAACCAACTTGCCAAAGAAACTCAGGGCAGCTGTTCACAGGAGCCTGCCCGCTCTCCCCTTGAGAGCGTACCGTCTGTCTCTTAATAAATCCTCACTTTACTTTCTTAACCTCTGTGTCCAGTCTCTGAATTCTTTCTGCGACTGAATAAGAACCTAATCACTGGCAACAGTCAGTCTAGATGGAAAGTGAGGTCCCGGTGGTGCTGGAAACCCCTCGCCTGGGGTCTGTTGACAAGCTGCAGGACTTTG